CGATGCGCAGATTGCTGCAGTAACATTGAGTGTCTGCTCTGCTGGAAGCAGCACAGAAGCGAAGCGTTTGTCATCCCAGCTTTCACTTCAATTAGGAGCACAATAAACTTAAGGCTAAACAAGGTTAGTGGCGACAGTGGACAGTGTCGTAGGACACTACAGATGACTCGCCATCGGAATTATTCAGAGAACTTTGAGGTTTTTTTGTTGGTAGAACAAAGTGTGTGTGTGGGACTTGGCTCAAAATAAGACTTTTCTGGAAAATGTGCTGCTTCAGGTTCGGTGAGAATGGTTCTGCATCCACTGATAGACCTTGAACAGTGATGTTGTTCTTTTGGTTTGCACTAGGATGCGACAGCAAAATCCCCGCGCTTTCTGTCTGTCTTTGTGGCGGCCCAGATTGAATAGGGGACTACATACATCTGCAGCCCGGGCCGCTGAGTTGCCTTCACCCTGGAAAGGGGTTAATTCACTCTTCCTTGTTTTACAGTAACGAATTGGGCAATTTGGATCTATCACCTGTCGTCATAACTGGCTGCTGCTTCTCATCCACACACCAGGACTAGGACAAGTGGGACTGATGTCATCTTGAGCTCTTCCTTTATTTTGACCTTGGTTTATTTGGAGCGGAGGCATTGTTTTTAAGAAAAACATGTCATGTAGGTTGTCTAAAAATAAAGTGCATTTAAACTCATTTGAGAGAATGCCTCTTAGTTTAATACACATTCAAATCCATCCTGTGTAGTGTTCCTGGAGAAGCTAGAGCCTGGTTGTAACCACCACCAAAAAGCGTAAGACTTCAGATAACTCTACGGTGAAAACTGCTTCTGGGACCGGAGCTTAAAAAGCGAGGATCAAAAGTCTTAATTCCGAGTTGAAGGGAAAGACCGTGCCCACCGCAGAGCCAGCCTTTGAGGTGGATTCCTCAGACCCTGCATCACCTCCGAGTGGAAGTAGTTAACTGGAAGAGATCACCAGAAGGACAGAAAGACCAATACAGTTGGAAGCAGAGTCCTGTCTGAGCTTTATCACATACCAAGTTTAGAACCAAGTTCCAGAGAAATCTAGACGTCTTGGAATCGTGTAATAAACCTTTGCCAAACTCCCTGGAACGGGGCTGGCAAACTGGCTCATCCTGCCACCTTCTTTGTCTGACTTTTAAGGTGGTGCTTCCATTTTTTAATGGAAAAATCAAAGTAGTTTATGGGACATAAATCTAATTTTGTGTCCAGCTTTACTGGGACACTACTGTGTTCATTTGCTTATGACTGGCTCTGGCACCACAAGAGCAGAGATGAGCGACATACCTTTAGGGCCTGCAAATCTTAACAGGTGTGTGGCCCTTGACAGAAGAAGGTTGCTGGCCCCTGCTCCTAAAGGTTATAGATGGAATGTGGGATGGAAAAAGCAACTTGTGTCAACATACTGTGTCTGAAAAGGCAGCGGATGTTGAATGTGACCGTGAACAAGCATCTCTGACAGACCTGGAGCAGTTCCCGTCTGCTGCTGAGGTTCCGGTGCAGATGCAAGAGGAAAGGGTCCCCGCGCTTTCCGTCTGTCGATGGTGGCAGTCGAGATTGAATGGGGGAGCACAGGGGAGGGACCGTGGGGTTGGCACAATGCGGAAGTCACCTTGTAAACTTCTGAACAGTGTTTTACTCCAAAGAAGAATCTAAAATACAAGTTTGCAAGAGAAGTGTTGGGAACTTAGCTCCCTACACCCTCGCCTTCTGATTCCACTCTTCAAAGCTTTAGGATTAAAACTAAAGGCGGCCAATGATTCTTTGCACAGGGCCTATGCTGCGGGAACCCAGGGCGAGCCCAGTGACTTGGCAATCTGAGAGCATGAGGCAAAGTCCGTCATGGTTGAGGGTTTGAGACAAGCCAGTCAGGTTGGTAGTGCCCCCTGGTGATGGGAAGTAAACCCAAGTATTGCTAACTCCAGTCAAGCTGAGTGTTAAGCACTGATTTCTGGCATCAAGATGTAGAAAAGTGGCAGTCATTGATCAGGAGGCCACTCGTCCTCTCTGAAACATGGGCAGAGACTTAAGGGAGTGGTCAAAGCGGAAAGGGTGAAGATAAGCTGATTTGTAATGGAGGCCTTGAGGTAACAATCAAAAAACCTATTTAGTGAGCCTGCCCTGGGAAAGCGGGAAGAACGGGACAGCAATCCCGAGGCGGCGTGTACAAGATGCAGAGCCAGGTTTATTTTGTATCTAGTTCTAGGCAGTTTAACATAAGTGGTGTGTCTTTTGTACATCAGAAGGCACGTATTACGTCATTGATGCTAAGTGTGGTGATGAGCTTGTTGCTGGTGGTGGCCTCTGGGGCCCAGGCAGTTGTGTGTGTGGGTGGCGGCGCGGTGGACGAAGGGCTGTTCAGTGTCTGGGAAGCCTCTAGTGCGTTTGAACAGGAAGGCTATGCGGGTGTGAAGCGGAGTGGTCCAGAGTCGAGTGGCATGTGCTGATGGGCCCTGAGCGTCAGGTGGCCAGGATGTAAGGTGCCAAGAGGAGAGCTGAGGTAGGGCAGAGAGTGCATGGGAGAAACCGGGTCACGCGGGAAAGCCACGGGAGGGCTTTCAGAAGGGGGACATCTGGCCCGAGGGTCGTTTTGGCTACTGGGTCGCAGGGTGAAAGCAAACAAGGGTGTCGCGCTGTTTTTAGGTGGGGGATAGGGACTCAGTCGGGTGGCTGTAACCTGAGAACACATCCGTTGCGGTGTTGAAGGAGGTGGAGAAATGGATTACAGGGTGAAGCCAAGTGTTTTGTCCTGAGTGAGAGACACTGAGACAGGAAGGCAAGCGCAGTGGGAAGTCAGGTTGGGTTTTGGACACGTAGGATGTGAGATGCTGGTTCTTGGTTCAGGTGAATTAGGCGGGCAGGACTTTAACCTGGGAGGAGAGTGGAGAAGGCTAAGCCGAAGACCTTGGGATGGTGAGATCATCTCGAGAGGGTGGTCTCAGCCACCAGCACAGAGACTGGTCAGCATGACGAACCAGCAAAGGGGACTAAGAAGGAACTGCCCCGACGTACGAAAACCAAGGGAGTGGCCTGGAAGTGGGGAGGAGGGAAGAAAGCCCGATTAAAACAGGCTCAAGAGAACAGCAGGTTCCCAGGGTGTTGACCAGGAAGTGTCATAATACGAGTATTTTTATTACATGTGCATCTGCTTAATAGGTATATGAATGATTCATTTGAAGCAGCCGTTTTTCTTCGGGTCTATTTAAATGACTGGTAAGTAAATTTCATCATGTGACCTGCAGGGTTAACCAGTAGCTGCGAACTAATGACAGTCATGGTAAAACTGCAAGAGCAGCAAAAACTTGGAAGAAACCCTGATAAGAGCATCCTACTGTCCTGAGTGCATGCGTGCACGTGCACACAGCTGAGCGACCTCAGCCGGCAGAATATTCAGTAAAATGGAACTTAAACCAGGAACACTTGGACTAATAGGGACCACATCTTAGTGACCTGCAATGTACACCTAGCAGGTTGCTACATGACCCTTAATTATAGTAAAAGTGGCTGACCGCCCCCTTGGTGGGCCACAAACATTCCTGAAAAAGCTCCAGCCTTGTGGCAGTTGACACATGTTCCAGAGACTGCCAAGAACTGAGAGCCTCACCCGACGTTTTGGGTAGATTATGACCGTCTGGGCTCTGGATCATGTTTGGAAATCACTGGACTGAAAGACAGTTTTGAGTCTGTGTAAAAATGGGAGCTACCTGGATATTTAGTTCTTTAGGTAAAATTCATTATTCCAAAGGCAAAGTCTGAAGTGTTTAACATTAACTACTAGAGGAAGATGCGTTGACGTGAGCTGCCGTGACAGCCATCTCAATGAGTCTTTAAACGGGAGCTGACGGATGGCAGTCGTAATGCTGGCCATTTCTATTTGCTCCACTGAGGATCCTCCTGCTGGGTCATGAGAACCTCAAGTGCTGACCATACAATTCAGGGAGAAATGTCACCTGTGAGCCCAGGGGAAGATTTTCCACACAGTGATGGTTCAGTGTTCACCTCAATCACGCACACACCCTGTACACTTAAGATCACCCTGTGTGTACAGTGCTCTGAGCTGAGGTAGGGCTGGGGACAGCCCTACGTGAAGGTTTCTGCATGCATGAGTGGCAATTTACAGGTGGAGAAATGAATTCCAGTATCAGGTGTCTCACTCAGCTCCCCAGGGGGGATGCACAGACCCAAACCGTGAGTTGGAGCACAGCGTTTTCAAGGGTCCTGGACAGCCACTAGATGATTCAATACTGAGTTCCTAACAGTTTGGCCCTAGAAGTCTAGTCATGTACTTGGTGATTTTCCTCGCGTAAAGACAAGTTCTAGTTTATTACCGAATGCGGCTTGCACGTAGCCTCATCTGGAGCACAGGGTTATAAACTTATTCTACCCAGTGCTTGATCTACCATTCCCTAAGGAGCTGGTGGAAATATGGCAAATTGCTGAGAAAGTTGGTATTTTGTAGACTTATATTAAAAGAGCTATACATGTGTGAGGGAGGAAGAAACTACCCCTCAGGTTCTCTCGGCTGGTCTAATAGACATGAGATCAGCAAGAGAAAATAACCAACTTTGAGACATACGCATGGGAACTCCATACATGAGACCGCGGGTACATGAGGTTCAGATGGAAAACGGGTATGTATGTGAGACATCCTGAGGGAGGGGTGGGGTCAGGTGCCTTGGCTCTATAGGGTCGATAGAGGATAAGAGAAGATGCTTAGTAAATAGAATTTGTCCTGCCCTATAGGTAGGTCAAAATGTCACGGACATGGCCCCTAATTCAAGATTTTCTACATAAAGGGAGGCGCAGAAGTTCCTCTTGAGCCTGCAGCTAAAGTTGCCTTTAGCTCAAAACCATCTGCATACCAAGAGGCACATCTTGGGGTAACTCGTTCTGAACCCGCTCTACATGCTGGGGGGTGAAGCATGGGGAGGGTAATTAAACTGAAAGATAAATACCTGATACCTAGAGGCTTCTGAAACCAGCAAACATAAGAGTTGACTCAATCACCGGTATACTAGCTTGAAAGCAAAATCTGGGAAACTTAGCAACTACTCCAAGTCTTCCAGAAGAATTAGGCTGGGCGATGAGCTGATTTTATTAAAATTTGTACAGCCAATAATCATAAAATTCGTTGAACCATTAGGTGTAAATGTGGGAAGGAATGAAAAAATATCTGCAACTGGTTAAGTATGTAGGTCAAATTTTCCATTTAGGAAGTCATACTCCCAGCTTCATTAACTCATGGCCAATGTACTTAAAAATGGCCCTGGTAATGTGTGGTGGGTGTAGTTCAGTAGAAGGTCACCAGAGGGCGCCCCAGTTTGCTTTCTACAAAACTGCAAGGTAAGTTACAGTTCAAAGGACAGACTCAGCCAGCGGTGGTTTCAGCACTTTGAGGTCTTGCTGGCAAGTGGCCAGAGACGCAGGCCGATAGCCTCAGCCCGCGAGTGTGAACTGGAAGATGGTTGGGTTAGTGCTCATGTTGAATCAGAAAACCTTGAGCTTGTTTTCAGTTGTGGTTTCCTGCTGCTTTAGTAAGGCCCTTCTCCCCTTTCAACCTGCCTCCAAGGGTTCTTTGTAGTGTCAGAGGACGATGACAATCCCTGGAAAGGTATAATTACAGCCTAACGAGTACAGAGGCATGAATGGGGGGACGAGTACCCCCACCTAGGAGAACAGTGAGATCCGCCCTAACCGAAAGAACTTTGCCTTTTATTCTAAATAGGATAAAAGTTTTAAATACTAGGATTCCCTTTCATTTTCAAATACATATCTGAATCTCTTCTACCTTGTTTACTGTGATTCACTGTATTATCTGTTGCTGTGTTATAAATAACCCCCTAAATTGGTGTTTTAGAATAACAATAAGCATTTATTATCCTGCAGTTTCTATATGACCTCAGTCATTCCAGGCAGCTCAGCTAGGTGGCTTTGGCTCGGGGCCTCGTCATGAGGCTGCTGTCAATGTCAGCCGGGCCTGCAGTCCTCTGACGTGTGACAGACCCACTTCTGAGACACCCCCATGGCTATCGGCAGAAGGCCTCTGTTCCTCGCCCTGGCCCTGGTCATAGGCCTGAGTGTCCCCACAACATGGCAACTGGTTTTCTCCGGAGAGACCCAGCAGAAAGCAAGATAGAAGCCGCAGCATCGTCCAGGAGCGGCTTTAGGAGTCATGCGTCACTATTTCATCAGTCCCCTCAGGGGTACCCATTCACTGTGCGAGGGAACCGGAGACCCTCTCGGAGGCTGGGAACCACTCACCCTGTTCGCAAAATGCGCATTTAAACGTTCTGTCAAATGTACATTTTCCCTTGTTTAATGTTATTCTTCCTGTTTTACAAATTGATACTTGAGCCCCTTTAAAGATGCATAGCAGAAGTTTATTTTCCTGACTAAAAAGGCCTCCCTCCTTTGCAGGTCAGAAAACAATTTCTGAAGGGTGCATGTGTGTACTATATCTTTATATATGTATAAATGTCTCACAACTTTAGCGATTCTACATGCAGACTTTCTAGAAAATGACAAGTTATACTACACGATAAAATTCAATGAAAGTCATTCAGGGAGTTACTGGATC